AGCCAGCAGCAAACCCTTGGGAATTGCTGCTTCCCGCTGCGTCCGCAGCCACGCATTTCCGCCCCAGCTGAAGCTGCTGCCGTAGGGGGCCCCCGGCAGCAGCGCGAGGTCGAAGCAAAACTGAGAGGGGGCCCCCTCGTGTTCCCTGCGCAGCAGCAGCAGCAGCAGCAGCAGCAGCAGCAGCAACAGCAGCGGCAGCAGTGTGCAGCAGCAAGCGCGAGGGCCTCAGCAGGCAGCGTCGCAAAGCAACACCTCCAGCGGCAGCAACAGCAGCAGCAGCAGCAGCAACAGCAGCAGCAGCAACAGCAACCCCGACAGCAGCAGCAGCAGCAACAGCAGCAGCAGCGGCAGCAGCAGCAGCAGCAGCAGCAGCAAAAAGGCCTACGGGTCCCTCTGGGCCCTTGCGAGGCTTTTCTTCCCAGCGAAATCCCTCAGCACCACCAGCGCCCCATCAGGCACAGCTTTGCCTGTGAAGCCCCTCGGCGCTGCTGCTGCTGCTGCTGCTGCTGCTGCTGCTGCCGGTTCTGCTGCTGCTGCTGCTGCTGCTGCTGCTGCAGTGTTGCTGCTGCTACCGGGAGCAGCAGCTGCCTGCTGCGTGCTGCTGGCAGCAGGGGGGCCCCTGGAGGCCCACAGGCCCCTCGAGCTGCCTGCAGCGTCCAGGCGGCTCTTTTTGAGGGGGCCTCCATTTTGCTGCTGCTGCTGCTGCTGCTGCTGCTGCTGCTGCTGCTGCTGCTGCTGCTGTTCCTGTTGGGACTTGCTGCCGCAGTCCTGCGGCTGAGGCTCGCCGTCGTCCGAGTCAGACAGCAGCGGGTTGCTGTAGCAGCAGCTGCTGCTGCTGCTGCTGCTGCTGCTGCGGCGGCCCATGGCTGTGTGTCCGCTCCTTGGCTCACTGTGGGGCCCCTGCTTCTCTGCTGCTGCAGCGTGTGGGGCTGCTGCTGCCTCTGCTGCTTCCCGTGGCTAGCTGCTGCTGCTGCTGCTGCTGCAGCTGCTGCTGCTGCTGCGCTAGCAGCGGGGCCCTCGCCCGGGTGTGGGGCCCCGCGTCGATGCTGTGGGGCCAGGAAGGGGCCCCCAAAAGAAGCAAATAAATTAAAATTGAATTTTATTTTATTTTATTAATCTTTATTTCCATTTAAGAGGGTACTGCTGCAGCAGAGCAGCAGGGGCCCCCAGGGGCCTCCCGCAGGGGCCCCTGGGAGCGATCCCTGGTGAGGCCGATGCAGCAGCAGCAGCAGCAGCAGCAGCAGCAGCAGCAGCAGCAGCAGGCGCTCCTGAGGGCCGTTTCCTTGCGGTGTATGTACACTTTGAAGTCTAAATTTGTTTTTTATTTAAATGTTTTGTCACTTCTTTTAATTTGCTTTTTGAAAAGAACCATTTGAGGGATTTGAAGCTGCAGACACCATGATCTGCTGCTGCTGCAGCAGCTGACTGGGGGCTGCTGCTGGTCCATCAGCAGCGCGCCCTCCAGCAGCAGCCCCTTGCCACACGGCGCCTTACGCACCCCTCGCAGCAGCAGCAGCAGCAACAGCAGCAGCAGCAGCAGCAGCAGTGGCAGCGGCTCTCCTGGCTTTCTACAGACCCGGCCCCTAGCGCCATCTTCAGCAGCAGCAGCAGCAGCAGCAGCAGCAGCACGACATCATGGGTTCCCTAGCTCTAGCCGAGCTTATTTTTCGCAGCCAGTAAGGGCGGGGCCCCCAGGGGGGCCCCCGGGGGGGCCCCCAGGGGGGCCCCCAGGGGCCCCTCAGGGGGGCCCCCTACCCATTCCTGTGGTGCTGCTGATGGGGCCCCCCTGCAGCGGCAAAGGAACTGTGGGGCAAGAGCTGCAGCAGCAGCTGCCAATAGTTCATGTTAGTTCTGGGGACGAGCTGCGGCGGCTGACGCGTGCAGCAGCAGCAGCAGCAGCAGCAGCAGCAGCGGAGGCCGCAGGGCCTGCAGCAGCAGCAGCAGCAAGTGCTGCTGCTGCTGCTGCTGCTGCTGCAGGCTTCGCCCCCGAAGTAGTCAAGACTGTGGGGCAAAGAATGCGAGAAGGCCTTCTTGTGGATGACTTCTTAGTGGCCACTGTGCTGAAGCAGCGGCTAGCTGCTGCAGCAAGAGAGCCCCTGCAGCAGCAGCAGCAGCAGCAGCAGCAGCAGCAGCAGCGGGAGGTGCTGCCGCAGCTGCTGCTGCTGGACGGCTTCCCCAGGACTGCTGCCCAGGTGTCTCTGCTGCACCACATGGGCGCCTGGCCCAGTAAGCTGTCCCTCGCTAGTCCCAAACCCTAAACCCTAAACCCTAAATCGTGGTTTGCGGCGCGTGTGCAGGCCTGCTTTTGCTGCTGCTGCTGCTGCTGCAGCAGCCCTGGCTGTGGGGCGTTTGCGTTTGCTGCAGCTTCTGTGCTGCTGCTGATGGCCCCCAGGGACTGTCTCCTAAAGAGACTTGAGGGCCGCCTTATAGATCCCAAGACAGGAATGGTTTATGGGCCCCACAGGCCCCCCCCCGCGGCCCTTTTGGGGGGCCCCCCGGGGGGCCCCCAGGGGGGCCCCCAGGGGGGCCCCCCAGGGGGCCCCCCGGGGCCCCCGGGGGGCCCCCAGGGGGCCCGAAGGGAGGATGACGCGGTGGAGGTGCTGGAGCGCCGCATTAAGGATTATGGAGACGGCCTCGCAGCAGTTCTGGGGGCCCTCAAGGCGGGGGGCCCCCCGGGGGGCCCCCCGGGGGGCCCCCAGGAGGGGGGCCCCCTGGGGGCCCCCCCCACTCTTATAGAAATAGATGCAACGCAGCACGTAGATGATGTTGCCAGAGATGCCATTAATGCTGTTAAGCCGCTGCTGAGGCCCCAGGGGGCCCTCGAGGGCCCCCAGTGAACTTGTGGGGCCCCGAGGGGCCCCCACGGGTTCATGAGGCCCCCGGGGGCCCCCGCTAAAGAGCTGTGGGGGCCCCTGGGGGCCCCCAAACAGGTTAAGCTCTTTACAAGAAGTAAGATCCTATGGGAAGCTCCAGAGGCCCTTTTGAGCTGCCCTCTGCGGCCCCACGGGGCCCCCAGGGGGCCCCCCCATGAGGAAGTCCAGGGGGCCCCTGGGGCCCCAGGGGGCCCCTGGGGCCCCAGGGGGCCCCTGCGGCCTCAGGGGGCCCCTGGGGCTCCAGGGGGCCCCTGGAGCCCCCGAGGGCCCCCAGGGGCCCCTCTCATAAGGGCCTCGAGAGGCCCCCTAGCGGGCTCTCGGGGGCCCTCAATGAGGCCCTAGTTTTGGCCCTTGAAGGCTAGCTAGGGTTTATTGTTTGTTCAGATTGAAAGAACCGCAGAAGTGAAGTTCCTTGTGCGGATAGCTAGCTAGCTAAGTGGCCAGGCAGCTAGCTAGCTAGGCAGCTAGCTAGCCGCGGAGCTAGCTAGCCACGCAGCTAGCTAGCCACGCAGCTAGCTAGCCACGTAGCTAGCTAGCTACGCAGCTAGCTAGCCACGCAGCTAGCTAGCCACGCAGCTAGCTAGCCAACCGGGCGGCTAGCTAGCCGGGCAGCTAGCCAACCAGGCGGCTAGCTAAGAAGGCAGTCAGCTAGCTAACAAGGCAGCAACCTAGCAAGGCAGCTAGCTAGCAAGGCAGCTAGCTAGCAAAGCAGCTAGCTAGCCAGACAGCTAGCTAGCCAGGCGCCCAGCCAGGCCTCAATGAGGGCGCATGCGGGTGCTTACTGTCGCGCTCTACCTAAACCCTAAATTCTATACCCTAAACCCTAGATTCTAAACCCTAAACCCTAGATTCTAAACCCTAAACCCTAGATTCTAAACCCTAAACCCTAGATTCTAAACCCCAAACCCTATATTCTAAACCCCAAACCCTATATTCTAAACCTTAAACCCTAGATTCTTAACCCCACACCCTAGACTCCAAACCCTAAACCCTAGATTTTGAACCCTAAACCCTAGATTCTAAACCCCAAACCCTAGATTCTAAACCCTACACCCTAGACTCCAAACCCTAAACCCTAGATTTTAAACACTTAGCTCACGAAGTGTAGTACAAAAAACTGTTGTGCAGTTGTCGCGTCCGCTAGCTAGCCATCTAGCGGGGCGGCAAGACAACTCGCTAGCCAGCTAGCTAGCCTGCTGGCTAGCTAGCTGGCTAGCCAGCTAGCCAGGCAGCTAGCCAGCTAGCCAGCCAGCTAGCTAGCCAGCTAGCCGACTAGCCAGCCAGCTAGCTAGCCAGCTAGCCAGCTAGCTAGCCAGCGGCCCTGTTAGCTAGCCAGCTAGCCAGCTAGCTAGCCAGCGGCCCTGTTAGCTAGCCAGCTATCCAGCAAGCTAGCTAGCTAGCTAGCTAGCCAGCGGTCCCGAGACCGCCTCACCGCCAGCCAGTCCCAGCTGCCTGGGGGCCCCCGGTGGGGCCCCCCTCTGGAGGCCTCAAGCCTCCTGGCTGCGTGGGGCTGCCGGTGCGTCCCATCCTTTGCTGCTGCTGCTGCTGCTGCTGCTGCTGCTTCCGCTGCTGCTGCTTCAGCGCGTGCTGCTGCTGCTGCTGGTCCCACTGCTGCTTCCGCTGGGGCTGCTTCTGCTGCTGTTCCTCCCGCCGCTTCCGCCGCCGCTGCTTCCGCCGCTTCCGCTGCTTTGTGCGCCGCTGCTGCTGCAGCAGCAGCAGCAGCAACTTGCTGCAGCAGCAGCAGCAGCAGCTACTTGAAGTTTTTGTTGACGCCCCTGACGTCTGGAGTGGACCTGTCGCAAATGTCCGCCAGAGTTATCTTGGGGGCCCCCGAAGGCTGGTTGGGATCGGGATCGCTGAAAGTACCCTTTCCCCTTTTGTCCACAGTGGAGGGGCCCCCATGCGCATGCACTCCCGTGAAGGTACTTTTGTCGTCATAGAAACGCACAGCTGCTGCTGCAGTACCCTGGAACTGGGGGCCCCCCCCGGGGCCCACCTGCTGCAGCAGCGCAGCCAGAGGCAGCTTCTTCTTTGCTGCTACAGCTTCCATTGCTGCTTCGAACTCGCTGAACGTCAGACGCGCCGCGCCCTGCAGCAGCAAGACACAAACTCCTGCTGCTGCTGCTGCTGCTGCTGCTGCTGCGGCGGGGGGGCAGCAGCAGCGGCCCTGCTCGGCCGTTCAGACGTCTCGGGCCGCTGCAGCAGCAGCGGCTACTGAGGCTGCGCAGCAAACTGGAGGATCGATGCAGCAAAAAGCAACAAAAGCGAACCCCAGCAGCAGCAGCAGCAGCAGCAGCAGCAGCAGCAGCAGCAACAGCAGAGCCAGCATCAGCAGCAAACGCCACTCTCCAGGTACTCTCGAGACTCAGCGATGCACGCAAGCAACAGCGCAGCAGCACCAAACAGCAGCAGCAACAGCAGCAGCAGCAGGTGCAGCAGCAACAGCAGCAGCAGCAGCAGCAGCAGCAGCAGCAGCAGGCGACCTTGGCCTTGCACTTGGTGAAGATCAAGTCGCAGTCCGTCTGAGTCAGCCCGCCTCCCAACAACTTGCAGTCTTTGCAAAGCTTCACAAAAGTTCTGGAGTCCAAATCTTTGCCGCGGCCGAAAGCCGAAAAGAGTTCTTCCAGAGTCGCCATTGGCTGCGCGGGCTGTCTGTACACCCCAGCACCGCACGCGCATGCACCAGCGCATGCATGCATGCATGCACAAAGCGCATGCAGGCATGCATGCATGCATGCGCATTCTGCATGCATGCATGCATGCATGCAAAACAACCCCAACTCCCCAGCTAGCTCCTTATCTTGGCCTGCAGCAGCACTAAGGACTTTGAGACCAAAGCAACTCAAAAGGACTTCAACAAAAGCCCCAAAAACTCCCAAAAGCCTACAGACACACAGCAGCGCTGCCTACAGAAGCTGGGGCCCCAGGGGGCCCCCAGTGACCCTGCGGGGCCCCACCGGCGCCCGGGAGCTACAGGGGCCCCCGGTACCCTCATGGGGCCCCGGGGGCCCCTGGCGAGACCCCCGAAGGGCACAGGGGGCCCCTAAAGTGACCCAAAAGACCCCCCAGGCGCACTGGGGGCCCCGCTAGCTGGTGTGTGCAGCATCGAGACTCACCGGTGAGTCGTTGAGTCGCTGCGGCGGGGGGAGACGGCGTAAATTTGGGATTTATTGACTTTAAATAAAAGCAAATGGAAATAATGAATTATAATTAAAGAAAAATGGGAAAACGAGCACAAAATGACCCTACAAATTGGCAGAGGGGCTCCCGCAGCCCCTGCAGCCACTCTCGATTCTGCAGGGGCCCCCCCTTGCTTTCCCGCTTTGGAGAATTTAAAAGTTTATTTTCATATTATAAATTATTTTCTTTTTAGTTTTTTGCATTTAAATTTAAAAATAGAATAGTTTCACGCAGTCAGCTCAGCGCAGCGTTGAGCGGCGAGCCGCGGTCACCCATCGACCTCCAGTTCTTGCTGATTAATAAAAGCATTAGTTCGTTTATTTGAAGTTATAAAATGCCATTTGAAGACAAATTAATTGGCTTTTATCTCCTCAAAAGGCCAAATTGTTTTTCAAATAAATGAAAGTTTAAAAAACTCGCGCAGGTCGCAGCTAAATATGTCAGGTGTACGTACACCTGAAGTGCCGAAGTGTACGTACACCTGAAAAGCAGGTGAAGAGGAACATCTTTTCGCAGAATTGCAAAATCATAAATTGGAAATTGTTTGAAAATAATTCAAAATAAATGAAATGATAATTAATAAACGAAAGATGATGGGCTGGCAGCATCTGGGAAGCGCCAAAAGGCACACTTTTTGGCCCAAGCTTTCATATTGTTCTAAATATATAAAATATTCAATATATTATATGAAATTATTAAAGTTCTAAATATATAAAATATATAAAATATTAAATTGCTAATGTTCCGAATATATATATTCTATAATATGTTATATTTCGCTGTATTTGTTTCATATGAATATGTTTGCCTATGTGTGCATGCACATGCAGTATGTGATGGTTTCTTGTGTTCACTTATATATATATATATATATATATTCTTTTTAAGTATATTTATATATATGGATATATATATATATACACATGATATATCCATGTATATATGTTTGCAAACATATATGTATATATAAGTGATATATACATATAATATAATATATATTATATAAATATACATATAATATAATATATATATATGTGTGTATACATATATGTAGTTCGCAAATGCGCGTAAGTGTGTATGTCCAAGCAGATATAAAAGCTCAAGTTCTAAATTTTGGACATGGCAAATATTCTGGAAGAAAGAAATACTTTTAATCCAAAAAATGCAAATATTAGCCCTTCTTGCATAGACACATAAGTTCGTGTATATAAATAAAAATATATATTTGTTAACTTATTTATTTATAAGTATGGGGGCACATACTTGCATGCAATATATGCATGCGCATGCACTGGAAAAGAAATCTTATTCTGCAGATCTGGGCCAAAATAAGAGTTTTTGTTTTTTTTTCGCAGCCAAGTTCATAACATGTGTTTGTTTATTATTATAAAATAAAATGCCATTTGAAGAGAAATAAATTGCTTTTTATCTCCATAAAAAGTCCCAGAAAATTCGCACTTGTTTAGACTATTTGTTTCAAAGTTTTGGGAAAGTTTTTGAACTTTCACTGAGGTGTACGTACACCCCACGGTGTACGTACACCCCATGGTGTACGTACACTTCTTTTCAGCCCGGACATAAAAATGTTTACATTTTTTATAATACCTTTTTGGGAGCTTTTTGGTGCTGCAAAAGTTATTTTTGCATGCATGCAAAGAAGACCTTTTGCATGCATGCATGCATGCATGCAGCAAACAGCGCGTATGAATGTTTATTTTTCGTACCTTTAAATTTAAATATAAATGCATTTAAATGCAAAAAAAGACTTTCAAATAGTTTATTTATGATATATATATATATATATATATATATATATATATATGTATATACATATATATATGTACATTTATATTACATGCACAAATGGAAATATATATATATGTTATACTCATGTATACATGCATATATATATATATTTAAGTAATATATTCGCATGCATATAAATATAAATTATATATATGTTGTTTATAGGGACACATATATACGTAGTATTCATATATTTTGATACAAATATATATTACATATATATATGTACTTATATACAGCTAGCTAGCCACTGCTAGCTAACCACTGCTAGCTAACCACTGCTAGCTAGCCACTGTTAGCTAGCCACTGCTAGCTAGCCACTGTTAGCTAGCCACTGCTAGCTAGCCACGGGTAGCCACGGCAATCTGGAATGGCTTCACGTAGAGCTGCTCCCCAAGGCCAAGCTGCACAGCAAGGTAGCAGGCTGCAGCAGACATTCACAGCTAGCTAGCTAGCTAGCTGTGAACCACAGCTAGCTAGCTAGCTAGCTAGCTAGCTAGCTAGCCAGTTAGGTAGGTAGTTATCCAGCTAGCCAGATAGCTAGCTGTTGCCTTTCAGCTCGTGGGCAGCTAGCCAGCAATGTAGCCACTTAGTCAGGCACCCAGCTAACCGGCTAGCTGCCCACCAGTTATCTAGCTACCCAGCTAGCTAGTTAGCTAGCTGGCTAGCTAGCTAATTAGCTAGCTAGCTAGCTAGCTAATTAGCTAGCTAGCCAGGTGGCCAGCTGCCTAGCTAGCTGATTCGTCTCAGTGAATACATGCGAGGAGAGATGAATGGGCAAAACGCTCTCTGGTTATTCCTTGAGTCATCTAAACATTTACCCTAAACCCTAAACCCTAAACCCTAAACCCTAATTTTTAAGCCCTAAACCCTAAACCCTAAGAGCTCGCGCTTGACTGTAACTAAGACTGAACCTTGTGTTGCGCACTGAAGCTCCAAACCCTCGCCAAAGCCCTAAACCCTAATTTGCAAGCCCGAAACCCTAAACCCTAATTTGTGGGGCGGAAACCCTAAACCCTAATTCGCAAGGCCAGGAACCCAGAAAATGTTTCTTGTGGGCGAAATTCCAAATTCTAATTCTTCCAATTGTCAAAACCCTAAACCCTAATTCTTGTAGCTGAAGCCTCAAACTCTAACCCTTAAGACCAAAACCCTAAACCCTAAATCGTGTGGACTAAACCCTAATTGCAATTTCCCACGCCAGAAGTGGAAACCCTAATTCTTATGGCCAAAACCCTAAACCCTAAACCTTGCGGCCAAAACCCTAAACCCTAGAAATTACTTCTGCTGGCCAAAACCCCAAACCCTAATTTTGTTATCTAAGCCCCAAAACCCTAATTTTTGTTACGAAGAACCGGAACCTTATTCTCATGAACAAAACCCTAAACCCTAATTCTTGTGAGCAAAACCCTAAACCCTAATTCTCGAATGTCCGAGAGCATAAAACCCAAAAGATATCCTCAAACTTCTAACCCTAGATCATGTTCCAAAACCCTAAACCCTTATTCCGCACATTAACTTCAAACCCTAAATTGCATCACCCCCACGCTAAACCCTAAACCCTAAACCCTAAACCCTAGAGGACCCTTGAAGCAGCAGTGCGTTCCCAGAACCGCGTCTGTCATTAGTTCTCCCAGAAATTTTATATTTTTGCTGTTTTGAGTAATCTTTGGATCCTAAACCCTAAACCCTAAACCCTAAACCCTAAACCCTGGATGGTAAACCCTAGAAACCTACTGCAGCAGTAGCGCCAGCTGGCTGCAGTCGTCCAGGGCAAGCAAACCCTAAATTAGAGGTTTACCTTAAATTGAGTTCCCGCTGCACTTAGCCTTTCTCCTGCTGCTGCGGGATTAGGGTTTAGGGTTTAGGGTTTGCGCGGCCTCTCAGCCGCGCCTGCAAAACCACTCAGGGTAGAATTAATGCAGCAGAGCCTAGGGTTTAGGGTTTAAGCCTCTGTGGACTCTACTCCGTAGCATCCTGGAGGGTTTAAGAGCTAGGGTTTAGGAGCTAGGGTTTAGGAGCTAGGGTTTAGGACCTAGGGTTTAGGGGGCCCCCCCCATTAAGTGAATACAATAGGCAATAAGTGGGGCCTGGGGCCCCCCAGAGACCATTTAAGCTGCTGAAGAGTAAAAGAAATTAATTAGAGGTTTAAGACGGGGAAGAAAAGTGCTGCTGCGAAGTGTACGGTCAGCAGCTGCGGACTAACCAGCAGCAGCAGCAGCAGCAGCAGCAGCAGCAGCGGCAGCAGCAGCAGCAGCAGCAGCAGCAGGAAGCGGCGTTTTCGGCCGTTTCTCCGCACAAAGCAGTTCAAATTTGATTTTGGATATTAAAAATTAATAAATAAATCCAAAGAGAAGACACAAACGGCTGTTTGCTGAGCCTGGTTCAGAGACGGATGCCGCAGCAGCAGCAGCAGCAGCAGCAGCAGCTCCAGCGGCAGCCGCGGCCGTGGCCACGGCCGCGCATGCAGCAAGACAGGCCCTGCTGCTGCAGCTGCTGCTTGCGTCTGCTTATAAAGTCCAAATTAGTTTATTTTTGGCGAATATTTATTTTCGAAGAATAACAGAAGAGGCTTTGCTGCAGAGGGCGCCTTGGCTGCTGCAGCTGCTGCAGCAACAACGCACACCTGTAGGCCCCGCCGTCTCGAGGGCTGGGGGGTTCTGTCTTGCTGCGCGCAGCAGCAGCAGCCCCTGCTGCAGCAGGTGGACTCGCAGCAGCAGCAGCAGCAGCTGCTGCTGCACTAGGCCACGCCAGCAGCAGCTTGGGGGCCCTCCAGGGCCAGCCAACCGCGCAGTGTACCTACACAGTGTAGAGAGAGCTGCTGCTGCAGCAGACACAGACACAGCAGCTGCTGCAGCAGCAGCAGCAGCTGCAGAGCGGAGATGTATCTTGCTGCTGCTCCCGACCCTTCTATGGGGCAGCAGCAGCAGCAGCAGCAGCCGCAGCAACCTTCTGAGGAGCTGCAGCAGCTTCAGCTTCTTTTTGCTGCTAGAAACTCAGGGCCTGCTCCAAATGACCCGCTGCAGCACGACCCGCAGCAGCAGCAGCAGCAGCAGCAGCAGCAGCAAGACCTAGCCGCAATGCGCAGCGGGGTCTCCAGTGCTGCAGCAGCAGCGCAGCAGTACCTCGCCTCCACAGTCTCCAGCAGAAGCCCCCCCCCCTCCTTGGGGGCCCCCCCGGGGGCCCCCGGGGGGCCCCCCCTGGCCTTTGCTGCGCAGCAGGAGGCCCCAGCCCCTGCTGCAGGGGGCCCCCTGGGGGCCCCCTCGCGGCTGCTGCTGTTCGTTGACAGACCCACGAGGCCCTTTGCCTTGCAAGAAGGGGACATTGCCAATTGTGTCTCTCCTTACGGACCCATCGAGAATGTAAGGAAACTCTTCTCATTTAGTACTCACTGGGGGCCCCCAGGGGCCCCCGGGGGGCCCCCGGGGGCCCCCGGGGGCCCCCAGGGGCCCCCAGGGGCCTCCAGGGGCCTTCAGGGGCCCCCAGGGGCCTTCAGAGGCCCCAAGGGGCCCCCAGGGTACTGCGGTGACCCCAGCAGGGGGCCCTCAAGCTGACACTAAGGGGGGCCCCCAGGGGCCCCCAGGGCCCCGGGGGCCCCCGGGGGCCCCCGGGGGCCCCCAGGGGCCCCCAGGGGCCTCCAGGGGCCTTCAGGGGCCCCCAGGGGCCTTCAGAGGCCCCAAGGGGCCCCCAGGGTACTGCGGTGACCCCAGCAGGGGGCCCTCAAGCTGACACTAAGGGGGGCCCCCAGGGGCCCCCAGGGGCCCCCAGGGGCCCCTGCACGCCTTTGGGGGCCCCCAGGGGCCCCCAGGGGCCCCCAGGGTATTGGGTTGAACCTAGCAGGGGGCCCCCATGGTGACACAGGGGTCCCCCAGGCTCTTTAGCCCCTAGTAGTTTGCAGACAGCAAGGGAAATAATATTGCTGCTGCTGCTGCTGCGGTTGATCTCCGCTTGTGACTGGCTGCCGTGGTTGTTTCACCGCTGCTGCTGCTGCTGCTGCTGCTGCTGCTGCTGCTGCTGCTGCTGCAGGTGCACGTGGTGAGGGACCGGGCAGCAGCAGAAGTAGTGTTTGCTTCTGCTGCAGCAGCAAACGCATGCATGGCGGAGCTGGACGGAGTGCCTTTGGAGGGGGCTGGTTTGCTGCGGGCTTTGCTGCTGCCTCCGGGAGTTGCTGCTGCAGCAATGCTGCCGGAGTCTGCGACGGACCCTCCGCTGCAGCAGCAGCAGCAGCAGTTTGCTGCTGCAGCAGCAGCAGCAGCAGCAGCAGCGCCGCAGTGGGGCGCGGCCTCGTGGGCGGGGGCCGACCCGCGTTGCAAGGCGGCGGGGGCCGACCCCGCCGCCGCTGCTGCTGCTGCTGCGCTGCAGCAGCAGCAGCAGCAGCACAGCAGCAGCAGCAGCAGCAGCAGCAAAAGAGTCTGCAGACTCGAACTCGTGGGCCTTTTTGCTGAAGAGCCTTCCTTCTCAGTTGCTGCTGCTCTTCGCGGCAGCAACGACAGCAACATTCAGTACATAATAGAGCAGGCGCAGCACAAGATTGACATTTCCATTCGAGGTATTTTTTGCTTTTTTTCGCAGCTTTTTTTCTCCTTTTTCGCTTTTTTTGCGTCTCCTTTTTCCCGCTTTTTTACTCTCCTTTTCTTTTCCTTTTCTTCTCCTTTTTTTCCTCTCGTTTGCTTCTTTTTTTCCGCCTTTTTGGCCCCGTTTTCGGCCTTTTTGTCCTGCTTTTGGCCCTCTTTTTGCTCTTTCTCCACCTTTTTTCTTTTCTCTATTTTTGTCCTTTTTGATCTCTTTTTCGTCTCTTTTTGTTTCCTTCTTGTCCCTTTTTTAAACTCCTTTTTGCCTCCTTTTTGTCTCCTTTTTGTCCCTTTTTTAGTCTCCTTTTTCTCCCTTTTTAATCTCCTTTTTGTCTCTTTTTGTTTCCTTCTTGTCCCTTTTTTAATGTCCTTTTTGTCTCCTTTTTGCCTCCTTTTTGGCCCTCTTTTAATCTCCTTTTTGTCCGTCTTTTACTTCCTTCTTGTCCCATTTTTAGTGTCCTTTTTGTCTCCTTTTTGTGTCCCTTTTGTCCCTTTTTAATCTCTTTTTTGTCCCCTTTTTGTTTCCTTTTTGTTTCCTCCTTGTCTCCTTTTTGTCCCTTTTTTAAGCTCTTTTTTGTTTTCGTTTTGTCTCCTTTTTGCGTCTTTTTTGTCTCCTTTTTGTCCCTTTTTAAATCTCATTTTTGTCCTTTTTTTAGTCTCCTTTTATTTCCTTTTTGTTGCTTTTTAATGTCCTTTTTGTCTCCTTTTTGTCTCCTTTTGTCCATTTTTAATCTCCTTTTTGTCCCTTTTTAATTCCCTTTTTGT